GGTTGTTCATGATTTCATGTACCTTGGCTCAACAATCTCTGACACTCTTTCTCTAGATGTCAAGCTGGATAAACGCATTGGCAAAGCAGCTACCATGTTCTGTAGACTAACAAAGAGAGTATAGCTTAATAAGAAGCTGATGGCACATACCAAGATCCAGGTCTATAGAGCCTATGTCCTGAACACACTCCTGTACTGCAGTGAGTCCTGGACCCTCTGTGCACGGCAGGAGAGGAAGTTGAATGGATTCTATATGCATTGTCTCCAATGCATTTTTGGCATCACTTGGCAGGACAGAGTTCCAAACAGAATAGTCTTGGATGGAACGAGCTGGAATTTTTAGCATGTGTACATTACTGAAACAGTGACATCTATGTTGGCTTTGGAATGTCGTGAGAATGGCTGATGGTCGGATTCCAAAAGATCACCTGTATAGAGAATTAGTGCAGGGAAATCGCCCCAGAGGAAGACCACAGCTGCAATACAAGGATATCTGCAAGCGGGATCTGAAGGCCTTAGGAATGGACCTCAACAAATGGGAAACTTTGACATCTGAGTGTTCAGCCTGGAGGCAGGCAGTGCAGCATGGCCTCTCCCAATTTGAAGAGGCACTTGTTCAGCAGGCTGAGGCAAAGAGGCAGTCCCAAATCCAGCAAAATCATGGAGCTGGACAGGGGACAGATTGATTTGTCTTCATTGTGGAAGGGATTGTCACTCTTGTATTGGCCTTCTCAGCCACACTAGACGCTATTCCAAGTCCTCCATTCAGAGCACGTTACCATAGTCTCTCGAGACTGAAGGATGCCTACTTGACTCATCCCACATGCCACTCACAATCCTTGATCTTAAGAATTGTAACACTCAAGAAAGACTACAAAAAAATACACACAAGGAATTAAGCTTTCTTGCTCGTGGCCCCTTTCCTCTGGAACCTCCTATTGAGGTTCGCCAAGCATTATCCCTCTCTGTTTTTAGGAAGCTAATTAAGACCAGACTATATAAAGCTGCCTTCTACCAGTGTCAATATTGTCCTGAGATATTCAAATGGTTTTAATTTGTGTATTTTTATTTAAAGATAGTTTTAGCTGGTGACCAAGTTTATTGTATTTAATTGTAATTTTTTGTATTCATTATACAGTAGGACCCCCATATCCACAGGATTATTTGCATATGTATTACCAGAACCGGCCACTAGAAGGAGATCCGGTAGTTATCGATAGATAGATAGATAGATAGATAGATAGATAGATAGATAGATAGATAGATAGATAGATAGATAGATAGATAGATAGATAGATAGATAGAAGATAGATAGATAGATAGATAGATAGATAGATAGATAGATAGATAGATAGATAGATAGATAGATAGATAGATAGATAGATAGATAACACTATCCTCAACTATCAAGGCTTAGCACTACATAGAATATTAACCCCTTTATCCCATTTATTTTCTAACTTCCCGGTCTAATGGGAATGTATCAAAATGCAAACACCAATGCTAAGAGAGTTTAAAAGAGTAAATAGCTCCCATTCCCATTCCAAGGCCTTTTGTCAAAGTAACTTGTTGCTTCTTCATTGTTCAGGGCTAGATAATGCAGACTAAAATCCTGCTCATAGCATTAAGCCCAAGCATAACTTTCCAGCCATTCATCCCTGGTAAATGAAGTGTCACTGCTGAGATTCTCAGGCAGTGCATGCACCAAACCAGTGCGCACATGCTTCCCCAAGAATCATGGCAGCAGCACTTTGTTTCCCAGGAGAAATAGACAGAAAGTTACACTTGTGCTCACACTGTGAACAGAATTTCATCCATAGTTAATTACTTCTAAAAAGAGAATATTATACTGCAAACCTCTACAGGAAACGTACTCCCTCTGTAACTATAAAAATACTTAAAAATAGTTAAGGTTCATGATAAAATGTATGAATTTGTCCCCCAGCACATTACAACAATAATGTAACTTGGGAAAGTTACTTTTTGGACTTAATCTACCCACATCTCCTAGACAGCACGGGCAGTAACCAGACTAGTTGGGGGATTCTGGAGATTATAGCTCTAAAAAGTTTCTTGCATAAATTCTGCTTATGCTGTAATGATTGGGGCAAAATAAAAAACAAAATCGTGACAAGTGACTCACTATTACAATGTATTATTTCTAAGCTCTAAGAAACTCATACTGATTTGCTCCGTTTTCTTAAAGACTTGCTTTTAAAACAAATATTTCAATGCAGGCTCTAGACGATGTCTCACTGCCATAAGGCAAGGAGTGGGTGGTTTAATTCTGAGGAATTTTGAAAAGACTAGGTACACAGGATGATGCCCTTCATATGGATCTGTGTTGATACCCATGCTGAATATTGTTACTTCAAAATCCGACGTGCAGAATCCAAATGGGCCAACAATTGTTGTCAGCTGGAAGCAGAAACACAAACTCCCCACCACGAACAATAGTCTTCCTATGGTATCTCTTTCTTCCATCTTATACTATTGGGATTTGTGGGGAGATAGTGAGGAAGCAGTGATCAGAAGGCATCCTATCGTTGTTCATAAAGACTCTCACTTGATCTGTTACAAGTTTCTCACTCAACATGAATCTAAATTGTATTGGTAGGCATTGAAATACTTAGTTCCCACCAGAACGGTATCTGTGAATTTGTGTGTTACTGAAGTTTACAATACTCTCCCCTCCAAAATAGATGCTGTGCAGAAAGACAGTTTATCATGTGGGTTTGTTAGAAAACATCAACCCAGGTATAAGTGGAACTGGGAAAAGCAAGAATCATAGGGGTGCTGTGTATCTGGCAGAGAGTGTAGAGCAGAGATAAGTGAAATGTACCCTGTAAGTACACCGTGGTGACTTCTCATCTCTCATCCACCCCCTTTTACTCAAGAACAGAAAATGTCAATTGCTACTCCTGATGTCAGCAAGTAGTGATTCATATCTTAAATAGATCATAACCTTCACAGTCAGCCCCCAGCCTTATTTTTCAAAACTGGAAGTGGGACACACACCCTGGTTGCCCATTCCTGATGTAGAGAAACCCCTCCTGCTAAATCAAAATGATTTTGATTCATTTTGCCCTTACCTATGCATTTTGCCCTTGCCTATGCTTCCCTGGTGATATCGTGGGAAATGAATAAAGAATTACCGTATTTTTGCTCCATAAGACGCACCTTTCCATAAGACGCACCAATTTTTTAGGAGAAGAAAACAGGAAAATATAATCTGTTTTCTTCGCTCCATAAGACGCACAGACTTTCCACCCCCGTTTTGTGGGGGGAAAGTGTGTCTTATGGTGTGAAAAATACGGTATGCACTTTTGTTCCTCTCCTCCACCATTCTGTGTTAATACACTGGCAGAGAAAGGCTCCTAGTATCTTCCTACAAATGTAAAAACCCCACGTATGGTCTGATATTTATAGATTTCCCCCTCCCTTCCAGTCTATTGATGAAAGAAACATTTTCCTTATCTACAAGAGGCAAGTTGATCACTATAACAATTAATGAGCTATTTGAGGTTAAAAATATGACAGTACCAAAACCTCCTACAATATTAAATACTGTATACATAATACAAATTTGATCTATGAAATATTTTATTTCATAATACAACCTTACAAATAGTTCACTAGTGTGGTGTAGTGCATAGAGTAATGAACTAGGATTCAAGAGACTTTGGTTTGGTAAAACCTCTCCTTAAATACCTCACTTACCTTGAAAACCTATTAGGGTCACCATATATGTCAATTCTAACTTGACAGCACATAACAATATTTCATTCTGCAGTAACACAATATAATGCATACATACACTCCAAGCATTCCCATTTTCTATTACCTATCCTCTTATAAACAATGGCCACTGTTCTGCTTTGAAGAAAGGCCTTAATAAAATTGTGTGCATTACTAGAGCTTTCTTCAGATTTCAGCCCCCTTCCTTGAATAGTGTGAGAATAGGAGGCAGGACATTGTTTCAGTTAGGTAGGTAGATTTAATGCTACTATGAATTTTTATATGCCACCTTTCTGTCAAACAATAGGCATCCAAAGCAACTGATACTGTTAAGAATTGATACACAATAAGCCCTTTTTGAAAAACATAAAGGCAGTAATGATGTTTAAAGGCTTTGGGGAGATATTGGAAAGTGTTGCTGCTCAGTAATAAAGTCTCTGGCAGAGCACTGCCTGTCATTTCACATATGCCAACCATGGAGATTACTGTCTATTGATTAGAGTGATGAATTCACTGTTTATACCTACGTCTCACTCTTTTCTGAAAACAATTAACAGATCAGGGTGCAACAAAATTTGTTTTTCTTGATCTGTGGCATTGAGAGCAAGCTTTTGAAAGCAAAGGGCATGCTATTGTAGAATAACTGAATATAGCATAAATAGACTGGAGTAAAGCAAGGGTGAGCAAGTTTCGGAGAGCTAAGAGCCGTTTGTCTGATCCCAGGACCCCATAGAATGCACCATACAGTCCAAATGAAACCAAAACTGAAACTGGCCACCAGTTCCGAAATGGACTTGTTTGGGGAGGGTGGAAGAAGACTGGTAAACAAGGCACAGGAGGGCAAACCTTGTTTTCAAGGAGGACAGTGCCCCCTGGAGGCACAATCTTCCTGGGTGGGGTACTCGTTATTCTAAAAATCAGGAACAATTCTAGGGGTTCCAAAGGCTGTAAGAATGGCCTTCGGAGTCATACAAAGCCCACAATTATCACCCCTGCAGTTGAACAGAGCATAAGGATTAAATTTTAACCTTTGGTGTGAAAAGACAACCAATTCTCTATTCCATCTGTGAAGTCCTGGAGGAAATATGATCCCATGACATAGTCTGAAAGCTTATGAATAAAGCTGCTGAGATCTTAAGATTTGTCAGAGGTAAAATGGAGGACCACATAAGGACATTAAATAGTTGCCCTTAGTTCCATGTTGGAAGTAGATTGTATGTGTAATAAAAAAATAATCTGCAGTGGCACCTATTTATCTTGGTTAAAACAAGACAATCACAGATAACATGTTTTTTCCCAAATCTTTGGCTGTATTGCAATGGTTGTTTCAATCTGTAGTCTCCAGCTAAACATTTCCTATCCATGGGTTAACAATATATTTTACCAACGTTTGTCTTTTAACAGTATTTATCCAACATAACAAAATAAACTGCAATTTCTTATACTTTTTTTACAAAACATTTTATAAATATTTTTACAAAATGTATACAAAGCAATTTCAAGTGAGACATACTATACAAATGAAAGTATTTAAGCAAATAAAGTCCATACCACACTGACAAAAAGTGACACATCCTCTTTCATTAAAGTCAGTCTGTAAGGCCTCCCAAATTTAACAGATCAATTACGCTGACCTTGATGAATCAGATATTTTTCATAGTTGCCAGCTAAAATTTTGTTTTCACCTTGAACAATATGGAAAGACATCCAGGAAGTCAAGAGACCAAGCCTACAAAGCAGTTAAGCACAAATAAATGGCCTTCACTGGATTCAGGACCATGGGCTGCGTAACAAAATCACACTTCTTTGTACAACGAACAAAAATATTTTTACTGCATTACCAATTAAAATATTCAGAGCTCTAAAACCAAGTTCATTTTAATAAATAAAATACATTAGCTACCCCAGGTTAATTTAGCTGAACATTGTTCAGAGGGCTCCCAGCATAAAATGCTGAGATACACATAAGTTATGATTCAGTCCACATTGACGAAGTGCATTTCAGATGCCCTGGCTAGAACTTTATTGAAACATAAATTTTCACATAATATCCCAAACATAAAGGCTTTGTTTTGGTATTTAAATTCAGAATATTCTGTACAGTTGAAGGAAACTTTACACTCCCAGATAAAACCAAAAGAAGGAGGGTTTATGGATGTGTGTCGAGTTTTGTCATGTTTCGATCAGATCCAAGTTCACTTGATTTATGTGACTGTGTAACAAATGGTTTTCATAGACATCTCATTATGGTTACAGTTCAATTAATTATTCCTTTACAGGTCTTGAGGGAAAAGCAATGGCCGCACAACCTTATATCACTGATAAGAAAACAAGTACCAGACTCCATGCGTATAAAGATTCACCAAAGTAGCAATGTCAGTCAAGATTTAAAGTCTTTCAAGTGACAATCACTACAGAATGTAGGCTTCTACAAATCTGTAATTTTACAACTGAAACACTTTTAAAACTGACAATAAAAATGAAAGAGAGCCTTCCACACATCTGTTTCTGGCAATGGTGGGATGAGCTTTAAATGATACGATTTTTCTATTAAATTTGGATATATTTTATTATTCCCTATGCTGTCTCAAGAAGGGATGGTGGTGGGGTCTTGTGATGACTGGAAGAGAGCAATGGCTCTTACATTAGTAGCATACTGTTATTTAAAAAGCACAAGTTGATTCTCCCCCCCCCCGGGCATACTGGCAATCTGACTGACAACCACAGTTTGTCACGGCTGCTGTGTGATGGAGCTCCACAGATGAATGCACAAGGGAGTTCCTCATTCTTAATCAATATTAGGAAGTGTCTATGTGTATACAAGAGCCACTATTAGGTCACTAGGCTATGATAGCATCAACTTGGAAGTTTTTGAATGTGGCTGTAAAGGAAACTAAAGAGAAACTGCCATACAAACCACGGGCCCAAATAGATACTACATCCCTTGTACTAATGGCTCAAAATCAATGTACCCAACAGAGCTGAAAAACAAAAACAAACATGGCAACACAGGAAAAGAATGCTAGAGATTAAAAGATAAGATAAAATGATTATTTTGTTCAATATGACCACCAGCCAGATGGAAACCATGCATGTGATTCCTTTGGCTCTAAATCATGAATTAGATGCTTTTAATGGGGCAGTGGATTAACTTTGGTTTGCACATATTTTGGTAATTATGACTGCCACTGCAGATGACTTAACATTCTTGAACAGCAGAAACAGACAAAAAACACATGGGTCTTTAAATTATTTAGATTAAGGCCAGCATCTCCTTAAAAGTATAAACTACTACTAATAACAACACAATTTTCAAATAAAAGTGCTTGATACTTGGTCTAGAAAAAAATTACACCACCTCAGAAAGATTTTGACTATATCCAATTATAGAATGCAGAATATTTTCTTGAAGAATTTCTGTGTGGGGGTAGAATTTCATGGCTCATAGCCTCCTCCTTTACTATTTTGCATCTTTTGCCTTCTTTGTGTAGCATGTATTTAGTCTAGCTGCGTACAATATCTTCCACAGACAAAAGTCTTGATAATATGTTTCTGCTCACTGAGCAATAGAAAAGCACTTGAAGTTATAAAGCCCTGTAAACACTCTGATGACAATGTCTCTCCTTCAAGAAATTTCTCTCTCTTCCAAACCTGAGAGACAGGCATTTCTGAACAGCGGTACTATGTAGTTTCTTTATCACAAACATCAAATCTTAAAATCAAGTGATGGGAGGTGGGTGAAGGCCAGGGGCTTTTTTTGATTAAATGCGAATAGTTGACATTTATTTATCACACTTATTACTGGACTGTGATTGTCAGTATATTACCTAGTTATTTAGGGCCTAGTAAACTGCAGTTTCATTAAGCTGTCATATTGAAACAATTAGCACAAACAGTATCACGTAGGGCTGGTTCAGACCCAATATCAAACCATACACCACAGTAAGTCTGGCAGTTTCCACTTCAATGTTTGACTAACCACAGCCTGCTGTTTACTAAATCAGGACAACCTACTGTTAAGTTTGTTAATGGAAACAAGCTAAGATCGAGCTATATTTTTGGTGGAGTTGGTTTGTTCCAACTTACTATAATTAAAATTGACCCCAGTTTATGGTTCCAATGACATGCTAAACAATGATTAATCTAACAGAAGCAAAAGTTTCTAATCTCCTCCTTGCAGCTACACAACCTGTGACTCATTAAGATGCATTCTCATATTACGAAACCAAATTTTAGCCAATGCACAGGCCCTACCAAACAGCTTTCTCTTAGGGATGTACATAACTGAATATCTCACTGTAACCACAATGAGTATTGCTTCCAAACACAGAACAGAACCTAGTTTAGAAAGGGTACCCTTCGATGTATGTCAGGCTGTACTTGTGGTGTCATTCACATTTGCTCGTAAGAGAAATATGCCCATGGTACTGCACTATTAACACTCTAAGATACTATTTACAGCGGCTTCTAGAAGAGAGTCAGTTTCTACAACACTTTCACTGTGGTCTGGAATAAATTTCTCCAGGCAGTTTTCCTGTGAAGCAATAAGTGAAAAGTGTGGATATTCTAATTCTAAAGACCCACTGCCAACTGCCTCGCCTTGTGGCTGTCTCCCAGTCTTTTTCAGTTCCAGTATATTTTTGAACGTAGTCTCTAAACTCTTATTAAGCAACAAATCCTTTTGAGGTTTCCCAGAGTCTTTCAAGTTGTCTGGATGCAAATCCTCATTCTTTGGAGAACTCCGAAGAGTTTTGTCTTGCAATGAATGATTATATGTTGCTTCTGAGTGAGAATCAACTCTATTCTGACAAATTTTATTTTGTGTACCATGATCTGTACTTCGTAAGGTTTTCAATGAATGATCATCAGAGTTTAAAGAGTTTTCATTAACCTTGTCAGGGTCTTTACCAGCTATTTTTTGTTCAGAAGCAGGCATAAGTTGGCATTCAGGAGAGCAGCTTGCTTTCTCAAACTTTAAAGCTTTTGTGAGATTTTCTGGTTTTTTAACAGAAATGTTTCCTTGCTGTGGACTCACAATATTGTTAGGCACTACATGAACTTTGTTGTGATTAAAAGACTCTGCTGTGCTTGAAATTGATCCGTCTCTGATTTGGGTATTAGCAGTCTGGTTCTGAGAAGTTAAATGTTTGCTCGACTGATGATCACTTTTGCCAGGCTGTGTTCCATTGTCAATCTTGTCAAACTGCGTAGAGGGACAACAAAAGTCTGCCAGAAAACCATCTGAAATTTGAAAACAGGCGATTTAATGCTGAATTATGGCATATTAAGAATAGTAAAACAAAAGGAATAGAGCAGCAGCATTCATCTTTTGTAGGAGAATACCAGAATACAAACATGCATTTTCAGAACTCACTTGATAATTTTCTACCATTTATCTGTAGAGTAATAGTACTATTCAGGTTATAATCCATTAGTAGGTGTCAAGTCATTATTGAAGAACAATGAAATAATGCAATTAGTTCTGTTTTGTGGTGTGCCCGGACCCTGGGCCCATTTCCCTAGGAGGTTTTGGCTGGGGATGAAGGCCAGGTATGTTTACATGGGCATTTTACTGAGGAGTCTGTTTTGTGGGCCTTCTTTTGTCCTCCCTCATCACATGGCCCAAGGAGAAGGGCTTACTGCTTTGAATTAGGGTGTGCCCAGCCCCTGGGCCCATTTCCCTAGGAGGTTTTGGTTGGGGATGAAGGCCAGGTATGTTTGCAATTAGTATGTATGTACAAATATAGTTTTTAATGTTTATTTTATTTGTCCTTTTTTGCAAAATGAGCTAAAGGGAATTCTGCTGTTGGTGGAAGCACAAAAGGGGTGGAGCCTAAGGAGGCAAAAAGCAAACAAACCCTGAAAGAGCTTGATGTCACTTAATTGATGCTCAGTAGACAAATGCTGCTGACTGTTGGAGAGGAGGTCTGAAGTGACAGGGAACAGAAAAGAGTAGAGTTAACAGGACTTCTGTTTGTTTAGGATTTTTTTATGGCAGGTTATACTTCTATTTATAAATCTTTTGCCTGAATGCAAAAGAATGAAAAAATACTTCTTACCTTCATAAAAATAATATTCATGGGCTATTAAATCAATTCTGGCTTATGGCAACCTTTTTAGGGTTTTCCAGGTAGAGATACTTAGAAATGGTTTAACACTCTCTTCTGGGGGCATCCTGGGACTGCACAGCTTACCCAAGGCCACACAGCTCTGCCTCCACAGCTAGATATTGAATCCACTGAGTTATCCAGCCATACTACTCTTCTATAAGTTAACTGTTAAGTAACAATACAATTCTAGACACACACGCTTAGAAACAAGTACCACTATGTTCAACGGAGTTTATATAAAATAAATAATAAATAAAATGTAGGCTTCATAATTATGAAATTAGGACAGTTATAAAATTGTGACGCAATGAATATTTTCTGAAGTCTGGAATTTTCTTTTATCCAGAAACAAATATTTTACTATGTTTTCGAAATTTTGAGCCAGTGTGTTACAGTGGTTAAAATGTTGGTATAGATTTTTGAACAGGTGGGTTGAAATCCCTATTCATCTATGAAGCTCACTGGGTGACCTTGGGTTAGTCACACACTCTCAGCATGATCTATCTCACAGGGATGTTGTAAGGCAAAAGTAGGAAATGTGGAATAGAAATAATGAACTGAAAATTTGAAAATATTACATTTGTATAATGGACCAATAGTCATTCACTTCTTAGGAATATAATAAATCTTCTTGGAATAATGCAATTACCAGTCATTATCTGTACATATATCCCATTTTGTTTCTTACCAGGGTCAACTATTGCAAGACGTTTATCTCGGGACAGAGCTTGTCTTTCTTCCTGGTTAAACATCCTGTCAATCATTACCATTTCTGCAGAAGGATTTATCCTCTGGGGAAAAAAGTTATTTAAAACATTCAGTTTTGCCTATTGTGATACATGGAATAGAATGCATATACAGTACTATCAATACTGAAAAATATCACTGTAAGTTAAATATGTGGCGGGAGGGGAGATTAGTTCTTTAAAGAAGCCAGACAAGGATGGCTGTGAAATTAGAAAAGGTTGCAAAGTGTTAGTTTAAGAGACTAATAGTAATTTGAAACATATCACAAGAAGCAGGAGTCTGAAAACTGTGGTCAGATTTACAAGTCAAGATTTGCTTATCTAACTGACTGAAATTCTTCCAAAACTGGGACTCAAGGCATCTAAACAATATTCTTCAGTGGTTAACTCTATTTCTAGCATAATTTCTTATTTCTAAACCAGAATGCTTAGGACTTCCCCATAAATGAATTGCCCACTGGGATTTAGGCACTTGATAAATAATACTGCTTTTAAGCACTCAGAAAGTAACTCTAATGCACAGATACATTGGATGGATCGAGCTAGGAAGGTGTGTAAGTATTCAAACACCAGCAGAGAGAAGCCCTATCATCATAAGTGGGGGAAGGCAACAGTTACGTATGTATTGTCAATGGGACTTACTCCAAAGTCTCATTGCACAGCATTGCAGCTTTTGTATCTGCATAGCAGCTTTAGTGAATTATTCATTGCTGCACATACTCTTCTCCAAGCTTCTGCCCTAACCATCTTTGCATGGGCAGTAGCTCGGTCTGAAAAAAATTAAAGAAGCAAACCTGTTTTCAAGACTATTACAAAATTTACTTCTTGTCTTTACCTTATTAAATGTTATAGGAAAAATCAGGCTAAACTCCAGACATCTTGAGCATTGTGTGCAATGGAAAGGCCAGATATAAATAAGGGAAATAAACAGGAATTGACACATTTTCAATCTCTCCTGCCTTCTGAGATAATCCGCCATGCGTAACAACGAAAAAGAGTTAACAAGGTAAATGTACCTGAAAGATATGCTCTCATTGCACTCCTCTTGTCAGGCAAGCCTCAAAGAAGCCCACAGAGGAGTACTGAATTACCATGCAAATATGCCGACTCAGACCTTCCTATTCCCATGCAGTTGCCTATAAAAGTCGGCAGGAGAATGCTTCTGAACAGGTATGTCTCAAGAAGAGAGACTGGCATCTCTGCACCCTCATGCTCTCTGAATTGTACAACTATCACTACCAGAATAAAACTCCCAGACTGATTGCTGGGAAAGACAATAATTAATAGATGAGACTGGCATGAGGCGGTACCACTTTGCGGGACTCTTAATGCTATATTAAAAAATCTTGAAGTAGGGAACAAGTTGGAAGATATGGTTCATGGGGTTAGATGAAAGCCACGCTGTTGCATTGGAACAAATTGTGAAAACTAACCACTGTGAAGTAAAACGCACAAACAAATAAATCTACACATTTTATTTATTTAGATTTATACCAGCTCATCTAGACCAAAAGTCTACTCTGTCTCTGCATACATATATGCACAGACAATCACATTATATGTGCTCTTTGACATGTGATTAGCCCTGTAATACATTATTTTTCTTGAACAAGTAGCTGGTGTAAGGGGAAGGTGAGCTGGATCAGAGTTATAGCATGGGGAAAGGCAGACTTGACTCTTTTCCTCCCAGTGAAATTGCCCCAATTCCCTACCATAATTGTACCCCAATGCTTGCAACCTGCAACAGAAGACTTAAAATTTATACAAATATATTTCATGATCTGAATCCAGCTCATCCAATTCCACCTTGTTTCACACAAACACTTCATACTATTTTTTAAAGAAGATCTTTCACAGGAAAGCGAACCATTTAGTTTGGCATGACAACAGTAAACACATGCATTTACTCATCTTACCATCGCATCTTCCAAGAGCAGACATCTGTACTTATTTAGCATAGCCTGGGTCCTTTTCAGAAGTTGTGTGGCTACTGATTCAAATTCATTATCCACTGAAAATGCACAGAAAATATATTTAGATAGTAGGCTTTTATAACAAAAGTATTTTACTCATTTCTCCCTTGTTTTTCCATTTGCTTCAGTTCTCCTTCTTGCAATTATCCAGCACCACTCTCAACACTTCATTGGTTTGATTTCTATGTAAACACACAAGAACAGGATTTTTATCTTTATTTTTTTGCAAGAGTTTGGAAATCAGAACTTACCTTTCCTTAAGTCATCTTCTGTTGGCAGTGATCCTTGGCACACATGATATGAGAGGAGTCTCTGGACTGCTTCATTTAAAGATCTGAACTGACTTTTATCAGGAGTTACAGCATGTGCCTGGTCTTTCTGTAACTGCTGTAGAATGCTAGTGGGAAAATTAGTATTGTCAGTGATTATAACTGATAAAAATTGATGGTACCTGAAGAAAAACAAATGCCTAAAGAAACACTATGAATAAAAATGGGCAAAGACTCACAAGGCTCCTTTTGTTAACTGTTTAGCAGCTGGTCTCTTTTGTCCTATTGTGTGACGATCATCCACCTAGGTGTGCAAAACACATTTTTATTACATCAGCATTACTTTCCATTATAAAAACAAACTACAGTCTAGTGCACATAAACAGGAACAATACAACTGAAAGTACTTTCTGTAGGCTGCAATAGTACAAACTTAACATTTTATTCTGAGACACGGCAAAAAAACCAAAGAGCATGGCTACACATTGTTAAATATACAGGCTTAATTTACCAGAGCAGTAATTCTGTGCATGCTTTTCAATGGAAACTTTCAGTGAAATACATCTAGAGGTAAACAAAGGATGGTGGTGCACGCATTATTGTTGTGTGCTATAAAGTAGCTTCTGATCTATGCAGACTTGAATAGAGTTTTTGAGGTACATGACATGTTCAAGGAGGACTTTACCATGTCTCTGGCTGAACCTCAGTTTTCTAAGTCCTCGTTCAGCACTATATCTGCTACATCATACTGCTTCTCACTCTATAGCTTGATTCACACCTAGTGCATATATCTAAAGATCAGGATGGTAAATGCTAACAGATGTGCTAACATTCTATCACATAGCAAGCACACTATAATACTATTACCATCATGTCATTTCAGAAGCAAGAACAGACATGTTATAAAAACAATAAGAAGTAATTATCAGAGTTTGCTAGAAAACAGATTCTGCGGCTTGAAAACCTTTGGTATAAATTATTGTTTAGTTTTAACTTAGTAAACTGATGAAGAATTTTAAATACGCCATCTGCATGCCTTCTCACAATTTTTAAAAAGATTATTTTTAATGAAAACACTAGTACAAACAACAAAGGCTAATAAATTTTCACCAAAATCTAAATTTAAGAAAAATTAGGGGAAATATCCTCCTACCTGCACTTTTGGTGGTGTAAGAGATGATCCTACTTGCTTCTCCTGGTGTGGCAGTGCAGTTCCTACAGGCTGCTGCATAACCTTGGCCCCTGTATCTTGTCCTATGAACACATGAATTATTAAGTTTCTTTAACAAGTTTAAGCAAACCTTAAGCCATGTTTGGAATCTTCTGCCTAAACATACAACTGAATGTATTTTAAAAGCCTTGCTTGATATATAACTTTGCATGTTGTTATAGTACACACGCAGCAGTAATAACAAAAGCATTCACAACTACATTGGTATTAAATGTATAACAATTTATAAATTAATGGTATAATCCTAAGAATATTTCTGCAACGTGTAAGAGGCAAGTCCACATTCAACAGAATTTAAGTACAAATAATGGTACAATCCTGTTGTCCTAGAGAGGATATGACAGATTCACTCTGCCTCTCTGAGGATGAAGAAAGAGGTCTGATTTCAGAGCAGGAAATTCAACCTTCGCACTGCAAGAGAAATTGCAGTCCAAGGTTGAGATGGCACATTGGCCTCCCAGAAGCATTGGCGACCAACTGCTTGTACTGCCTATGGAAACATACCATTGATGGCCAAACCCAGTAATTCCATCTGGCAATACAATGTGCAGAGTATGAATCTACAAAACTGGGGATACGTCCTCAGAAGAAATGTTGGGTAAATTGTTTGAGGCAGGGGAAATACAGACTCTACTCTCTTGATTCAGTTTGATCCTAAGAGAAGAAATGTTGTGCTACATCTCTTACCGCTTGATAGGCTATAATACATGGCAGATCTCTGACTGTCTAATAAAAATCATCAATGTCCAAGGTCACACAGGCTGGCTCTTCTCACGGGAGGCACAGTGGGGAATCAAACACGCAATCTCTGACTGCACAGACATACCTAAACCACTGATCTATCCAGCCAGCTCTTTGCACATCTACTACAGGTCAATATAACTCTTTTCTGTATGTCTAAAACTGTGTAGTAAACATGAACCAGCAGTCTCACCCGGTCTTGGCTCTCAGGTTCATATTAGACACATTCCCAAGATGCCAGCCATGTCTTAAGGCTACAACTTGGAAGGCTGCACATACATATGCTTCCATAAATTACTGTCACATAAACATCCCAAACATTTCCAGGAATTATCCATCCCTGTAGTAACCTGCTGGCACTACATTTTCATACATATGAATACACAAAAGGTATTCTGTAAAACTCATACCATCTCTTCTGAAAGTCATGTGGGAATCAACAAAATCCACACAAAATTCTGTCATGGAGGTCTGACTCTGTGATTTTGAAAAAATGCCAGTTTAACAAAAAGTTTCTTACAAATAGATACAGAAGAGGTATGGAGAGAGTGATTTTCAGCTACCTGATTTGCTGCTTTAAGCTATTTGTCTCAAACATGTCACCAGAGTTTAAACCGGTACTGCTTCAAGCTCTGTATTGTAATCCCATGACAGACTGAGCAAGACTGCAAGTAATGAGTCTCTCCTAGACAAAACCAACAGCGAGAAATGCCCATCTGTGGGCCTGCTCTTTCCTCATCAGTCCCAACATGTCTTTAAAAAGGGCTCTAAGGCCACAGGAGTGGACAAGGCCCAGAAATGAGGGATCAAAGAAGAAACCCGCAAACCATGTATAAATGATACAACCAATCAAAAAGCTGAGGAGAAACGGGTAGAAAAAAAGTAAGAGGAAACTCTATAGGCAAATACTTCAGTATGAGGAATGAGGAAAGAGAAGCTCTGAAACATGTAGCAGAGATAAAAAGGAACTTGGGGGATCAAGCTGAGGAATGCTTATACATGCATGATGGGAAGGGTGGTGACAGGTTTCTTGCTTTACAGCTTAGCTCTTCCACATAGCACAGTACTCTGTGCAGGTGTGAATCCGAGGAATTAGTGGGAATCACAGAGACCACATTGAAGAACTCAGCAATACATCAAGGGCTTGTCTAAATTTTCACCCTACTAACAGTAAGCTAACTCTGTAAATACCCAACCAACTGTTGTGGCACCTTAAGACAGACTATTCATCTGATGGGCTACAGTCCACAAAAGCCAATGCCCGATAAAATAAGTTAGTGTTTAAAGTACCTCAAGACTCTCTGTTGTTTTCGCTGCAACTGACAAGCATGTCTGTCCCTTGCACAGAAAAACAGTATTGACATGCGTATCTAAATGCCATAAAGATCCGCCTGCATGCTCAACTATATTTAAGACACATCAGCATCATGCCCTTGCTGGCCATTTAGGAAAAATTA